GCCTGTCCCTTTCTGCCAGAAAGGGATGATATCTATTGATCTTAATTAGATATACAGACCAGAACTTTAAGAGGGGCTCCGTTGAGCTCCTCGGCGACAGACCCCTCCCACAGGAAGTCGCTCACTCTTGAAACTTAAAAATAAAGGGGAATCAGAATATTTTGAAGTCTGGTAACAGATTTTATGATTGGTATAAGACAAGGTGACAAGACTGGAACAAACAGCATATATTGTGATTGGACAGAAGGATAGACAATGTATTAAGTAGGCTAATAGTTAATGGTTGAGACTAGTTGTATATAATGTGAATGCATGTGACTTTGACTTCACGGTACTGTATTGTTTTAAATGTAAAAATGATAAAAATATATTTAAAAAAAAAGATTTTAATTTGATTGTTTTAAGATCTTATGCACATTGACTTGTAAATCAGGATACTATTTGCTGCTTTACCTCTGGCAAACATATATTAGACTAGGTGGAAGAATAGAAGTATATAGTCATTTCCATGGATTAAAAAATATATAGCCTCAAAACCTTAAATTTAATACAGCTGAGTTTATAACAACAATAACACTATCCGCTATGAGCCATTCTGGCACAGAAGTTAGAACACAATATTGAAGCCTAACTCTGATGACTGCCCACTGGATTCTGACTGGTTCAAGGTCAACTCAGCCATCCTTCTGAGGTCAGAAAATGAGGACCTGGATTGTTAGGATTAATATGCTGATTCTGTAAAATGCTGAGAAAGGGCTATAAAGCAATGTATAAAGTCTAAGTGCTATTGCTATTCTATTGAAGCACATGTATCATCAGTCGTGTAAAACAGTAAAATATACAAGCTAAAAAATGGAAAGTTCTTAATTGTTCATTGGCAATCCAAAAATAAATTATTATTATTATATATACAACAATGTTAAATCACAGCTGCCAGTTTAGCTAGTGTTAATCTTCATACATATCAAGTTCTTTACAAAAACCTAACATATCATAATTTATTGGTGTAGTACACAGGTGTCAAACTCGTGTCTTCATGTTGCCATTACCAGACTTTTTGTGCCGTTTTTCCCATTTGTGGAACTGGAGAAGGTATGGCCTGCACATGATGCATCTGGCTCATGGACTGCCAGTTGGACACCCATGTGTAGTATATTTATGGATCCAAGCAGTGTGCCTTTTTGTAATTGACCAATGGAAATTTTGTTGATATACAGATTTTATAAGTCCAAAACTTTTTGGTTTGACATTCAGTTTGTTGATAATACTGGAACAGCCCAGCCGGTTTATGGCATAATTTTTCAACGTCTCAGATCTTGATACGTTGTGAACTTCTCCAATACTTTGTTTTCTATTCTAGTATCACTGGTATTGAAGGATCAATGATCCACACGTTCTTATTTTCAGCCATTGTTAAATCTAGAGTGTTATGAGTCAAGACTTTATCAGTTTATCATTAATATCATTGTTATATAAATTTATATGCTTCCCAATTCCCAGAGACTTTAAAGATATTTAAAATAAGAGAAGATAACTCAGGACTGAAAACTGACAAGTCTGAATTAAAAGATATTTTCATGTGTACTCTTATTTCTGTTTTTAGACATTATTGGATATTATAATTCAATCAAAGCAAACCTTATATCAATAGATGAATATGCATATTAAATATAGAGATATAAATATATAATTCTTGGAAAGAAATCTTTTTGTTGCAGTTATTAAGTGATATATTCTAAAGCCACCAACAATTCATTGTTAAGATTAATATATACTATCATGTATTTTTTTGCATTTTCTATTGTGGAGGGAAGAAAATAAATCAATTAACAGAAACCAACTAAATGAAATTCTTAGGATTATTTTAAGGTAAATAGATTTGTGTAAAAAATCCATCCATGCATTGATGCACAAAGCTGGTGGGTTTTTCAAGTGTTATTTGCTTCAAAGGAATTGAAATTGCTATTGTAAAAGGGTAATTGTAAAACACAATTGAAAAGTTTTTTTCTTACTTTCTTGGCATACAAATATTACATGTTTAAAGAAACAAGAAAAAGTTAAAAAGTAAATTAAAATGACATATATTTTTTACTCTTTTTTTCTCCAAAATTGTAAGATTTCTTGGTTCATAATGTTCATTTTTTTAATTGAAAGGAGCCTTATATTATAAATTTATTATGTATGTTTATCCTTATGGTTATATATAACTATATAATTATGCATTGCTAAGTGTGAATTACTTCTCTCCAATTTGTTGTTCCTTTTCTACTTTAATACTTCAGAATTTGTTTTAAATTGTGTGTGGTGG